TCTCCTACCTGCCAGCCACCTTTCTCCTTCCTCTTTTATTGAGGAGAAACAGTTTATTAAAACCCTTAACCCGTGAAATTTGAGAATTGATCCTACCACTACGGTCTTGAGTACTATCTTGTGCTCAGGACCAAGCAGATTGCAAACACTAGGACTAGGGACAGACATTACACATAAACCGGTGTAAGTGATCAGAAACTGGTTTAAACCTGTAACAGAATGGATGTTCAGTGCATATAAAACAGTTTGAAAATGGCTTAAACCAGTTTGAGATAAACAAACCTGTTGAATGTAGTATCAGACTTAACTGATTTTGCTCAAACTAGTTTATGCGATGTCTGTCCCAGACCCCTTGTTGGTTTAAGATAAACCAGACACCCGCAGCATCCCAGAATGCTCCCTGGGCTGGGTGGGGCTCTCTGCTCCACAGCAGAGCTAACCCCTCCCCTCTGTTCTCTAGCCTGAGCAGGGGTAGGGTGTGGCCAGAGGTAGCCTGCAATGGCCCCAAAGGCAAAGGGGCAGAAAGTGGGGTTAATTTCTTCCTCCATCCCCTCAGACCACAGCTGAGGTTTGCTAGCCTGGCTGCACCTCTGTGACTTGCCTGCAGCCAGGCCAATGTGGTGCCTATCTTCAAGAAAGGGAGAAAAGATGATCCAGGAAACTATAGGCCAATCAGTTTGACCTCAATCCCTGGAAAGATTGTGGAAAAAATTATCAAAGAAACCATTATTGACAGGCTAACAGAAGGCAACATTCTGAGAGACCGCCAGCACAGGTTTGTTGCGGGTAGGTCTTGTCTGGCCAATCACATTTCCTTCTATGATCAGGTGACATCACCTGGACAATGGGGAAGAGGTTGATATCATATATTTGGACTTTAAAAAAGCCTTTGACCTGGTGTTCCATGATGGCCTCCTAGAAAAAATGGACAACTGCGGCCTTGACTACCCTACAGTCTGATGGCTGGGGAACTGGCTCTGAGGTTGAACCCAGAGAGAGGTAGTTGATGGAACTGAATCAACATGGCACTCAGTGACCGGTGGTGTTCTCCAAGGCTGTGTTCTCAGACCTGCACTCTTTATTGTCTTCATAAAAGATCTGGACTCTGGTGTCAGAAGCAGACTGGCCAAGTTCGCTGATGACACCAAACTTTGGGAAAGATAGTGTCCACACTTGAGGATAGGCTAGTGATCCAGGCTGACCTCAATAGGCTTGCAAGGTGGGTACTGAAAACCTGATGGCATTCAATACAGAGAAATGCAAGGTGCTCCACCTCGGAGGAAAAACAACTCGCATCACCCTTACAGGCTTGGCAGTGCCACACTCGCTAGCACCATGGCTGAAAGAGGTTATGATTGACCACAAGATGAATATGAGCCACCAATGTGATGCTGCAGCCAGTAAAGTGAACAAAACTCTGGCTTGCATCTACTGATGCATCTCAAGAAAGACCCAGGATGTCATGCTCCCACTGTACTTGACCTTGGTGAGACTGTAGCTGGAGTTCTGCATCCAGTTCTGGGCTCCACAATTCAGGAAGGATGTGGAGAAGCTTGAAAGAGTCCAGGGGAGAGCCATGCTCATGATCAGAGGGCAAGAGAATAGGCCTTATGAAGAGAGGCTGCGAGCCATGGGACTCTTCAGCCTGGAGAAGCACAGCCTCAGGGGTGACTTGGTGGCAGCCTATAAGTACATAAGGGATGTGCATCAGGATCTGGGGGAACGCCACTTCACCAGGGCACCCCAAGGGAAGATAAGGTCTAATGGTCACAAACTCCTGCAAGACCGTTTTAGACTGGACATAAGGAAAACATTTACTATCCGAGACCCCAAGGCCTGGAATAGACTCCCCTCAGAGGTGGTGCAAGCACCTACTCCAGACACTTTCAAGAAACATTTGGATGCTTATCTTGCTGGGATCCTTTGACCCTAGCTGACTTCCTGCCCCTGAGGCAGGGGCCTGGACCCTATGATCTTATGAGGTCCCTTCCAGCCCTAATGTCTATGAAATTTATGAAATAACCAAACCCCAACCCTCCCCCCTTTTTTTTTGTGCAAAAATCTAGTTGGCCTAATAAAAGATATCACCTCTGTCACAGGCCCTGATTCCTTTTGGCTGTAAGGAGACACTCAGGATTACATAAAATTTATGCAAAGCTTTCTCTTCCTGGTTCACATTTTAAGTTAGACTAAGTTGTGTATGCTGTGTTTTACAGGGCTGTATTTTAGCTTAGGCAAATATTTTTTATAGTTCCCTGATGTATATGCTTAAGGCTGCAAATTGCTGTGTTCAATACATGCTTGCTTCAAAGAAAGGACTTTTTCCCCGCACCCACTCCTCAGTCTGGCAGCAGCTGCCCCGCTCCTCCCCCCCTGCTAGCCCCTGCTGGTGCCTGGCCATGCTCCCTCCATTCCAGCAGGAAGGGGTGAGAGCCTTGGAAGGCATCACTCTTCCCACCCTTTGGCAGTGGCTGCCAGGTGTGTTCTAGCGCCCCCCCCCGCTTCTAGCTGGAGCCACTGCAGGCATGTACTGAACGTCTATCCGCTTGCAAACCAGCTTAGACTAACCTGCAAAGATTGAAATAATTCAGGCTCAGGCTTTGCTTTTTGAATGTCTGTCCCTAACCTAAATAACCAAAGCCTATCAGTAGTACAGACTAGAACACAACAATTCTATTTTCAGGTGACATCTGAAGTTTCAAAACTGGGTTTCATTCCCCAACCAGATGAAAACAAAACCTTCTTGTATGTATATCTACTTTTATTCATCCATCCATTCTAGTGATTAGGGCAATGTGGAAGACCCAGGTTAAAGTCCCTGCTCTTCCTGATTAAGAGAAGTTTTTTGTCCCAGATGACTCCAATTCAGGCAAAGAAGAAAAGAAATTCTGCTGCCTTAACCAGCAAGATGATAGAGGCTGATAGACTCTTCTTCCAAACTTCAAAACAAAGAAATCTCTTTGAGAAAGTTATTCAAAACTGAAAAGTTTCAATGAAATAACATATTTTCAAAGGAGTTCAAACCAGCTGTAAACCTCATAACACTTCTATGAGGGAAGTAAGGTTCATATTACCCATCTGTCATGTGATTCGCTTGAAGCACAAGGAAAATACATGGCTTGACAGACATCACCGGGAGTCAACAAAAAGTTCCAAACTGGAGGCCCCACTATTTTAATTTAAAAGAAGGGAAAAAAATGAGTAAGTGAGCTCTTGGTCAACAGGGATTGTACACGGTGCGAACATATGGGCAAAGGATTACTGAAATAATCTGATGTTTGGAGAATCTGGATGCATTTACGTATATACTTTTAAATGTTCCCTTTTATTTTTATAAATTCCTGGGGAGCAAAGGAGGCTTAAATATTGGCACAGCAATAGATGCTAGATACATTAATAAAATTAGTAATAGATGAATATATAGCTTTGGGCCTGGAACAGTGAAAGAAGATTTCAGGGATAACTGACAGAATGGGTTCCAGGGCTGAGCTTTGCTGACCTGACATAAGGGCATGTAATATTGATTTTGCTATCTGTCTGTCAAGTCACATATTATTGTGTACTTTGCTTTATTCTGGTCTCCAGCCACTAATTCACTAAAGACATCTTTAAAAGAGAGAATTCAGCTGCTCTCAATAAAGCTTCTTTTCGGGAAATGGGAACTCTTCCATGTCATATAAATATATACACTCACAATCCCTCTTTTTGAATATATATATATTTGTATATGTGTGTACATACACACATATACACACATATATATACTATGGGGAGAATACACACACACACACATTTTCTCCCCATAATCTACATATGTGTGTGTGTCTGCATGTACACATACATCACATACACACATCACACACACATATATATAGACCACATACAGGAGTGATACTTCTACCAGGAAAACTGAGAGTCTCTTGGCAGAAACCAGGAGTGTACAGGCATTTTTTCAATTTATTCTGAGGGAAAGCATGCTCCCTCCAGGGGAAAGATCTCCCAGGTGTCAATCTGAATTGATCTCCTTTGCAAGAGGAAATTTCCTGTAGGAAAGAATGCTCATATGCCCCCACCAGTCTGGTCTGATGTGGTCTGGTCTGGTCATGGACTGGAACAGCGAGGCAAAGTGGGACAGTTTGAGAAGGGAGTGGAGCAGCTGCTCCTTGCCAGCTCCTTCCTCCATTCCACTCCCCAGACCACTTGCTCCCTTTCTCTGCTTCTGCTACTGGGAACAGAGCAGAAGCAAACACTCTTTGTCCTCCCAGACAGGACATTTCTCAGAAATCTCTACCAGTAGAAATGAACACCTCTTTGTGGCCATAGAAAGTCAGTGTATATGTGAAATATATCTAACACTGTATACATTCAGTGTGTGCACATGTGTGTAGACATTGATTTTTTTTTAAGTTTCAGCTATATCTGAGAATGAAGCCATTAAAAGAGATTTTCAGTGGTAATTTGAAGAAAATTCAGGAAATTTTCTGAGGAACTCCAATGCATGGTAGCGGTTGTTAGGGGCCCATTAATTTTCTAACAATCACAAATGTATTCTCTGAGTTTCTCTGCTAATTCTCCTGGATAATTTTGAAGTCATAACACAGAAATGATCATCATCCTTCTGCTCTGTGTGCATATGAATCATACTACAGTCTCCAATGACAGCACCATACAGTGATACAAAGATAAAAAAAAACAAACCTGAACCATGGCTATTAGTTCTGTACCATCCAACCTCATCCTGGTAAGAGGTAGAAGTACTGTGAAAAGTACAGTATATGATCATGTGATAAAAGTCTACTTTTATGTATCTGTTGGTAAAGGATTAAGCTTGTATACAACCATTTCTACTGATACTACCTATCAGTCTTCACTTTGTAACCTTGCCATTTCTTTACAGGAAAGATTTCTTTTTTTAACGTAACATAGTATATATAAATATGGTATTGATATATACACACAAAGAATGGAGGGTCAACATTTTTAGTATTCTGTCTACTCACCAAGGTTATACCACATGTCTCTGATCTCAAAACCAATTTGTCTCCTCATGTCACCATACCTATGAAAAAAAAAGACAGACACCGTATCTTTCTTTATAAAACACCAAGAAACAAAACACACAAGAAATCAGAAGTTGTTTAGAATTAAAAAAAATGCTATTTGACCCACTCAGAAAAGGTACTCAATACCTACTTATTACTAATAACATAACACTATTTATCTAGTACTCTAAAATATTTATCATCAATTAAGCTTCGAAGCACCTCTAACGCACCTATTTTTAGAGCAGTGTAAATTCAAGAGGTTAAATGGCTTGTTCGAACTAAGGGCCTTGTTATACCTTATATTGAAAGCCACACAAATGTTCATCAGCTTAGTGTTGTTCAGCTTAGTGGAGCAGTCACAGTGGAGCAAAAAACCTGTTCTGACTGCCCCTCACTTCCACAGCTGTGACTTGCCGCTAGAGTACTGGTTTTCAACGGGTGGTCCGCAGACTGCTTGGTGTATGCAGACTACGTCTAGTAGGTCTGTGAAAGATGACTGATCAATCAAAAGTATGTGAATACCTACACTTACAATTAAAAGAAGTCCACACCTCCATCTGACATTTTTTTGGGGTCCACAAATGAAAAAGGTGGAAAATCACTATATTAGAGGCTTGGTGAGTAGGGGCAGGACTAGGAGCTAGGGGAAGGACAGAGATGCATGGGTTCTCCACTGTGCCCTTGCATCCTGATCACTCAGCTGCCTCCTGAGATGCTGAAGGCACCTAGGATCGATTTGGGCAGAAAAGCTGTGGAAAGTGGCCACAAATTATGGAACAGGAGCAAAATTAGGAAGATTACAGATAATTCTCCCTTGGCATTGTGTACTGTTAAATCAAATAACAAGTGCTTTAAACCACTTAAAAGGTGTTAACATGCAGCCAGTACAGGTGTTAAGACATGGCTGGGCAATTATTTGGGCCTGAGGGCCACATAGGGATCTTTAATGAGCTGTCATGGGCTGGGTCAGCATCCCTTGCTTCATGCAACAACTGACCAATACTCCCTATGTGGGACGGGGCCGCAAATGGGCAGGAGCAATAGTGGGGAGCAAGACAGTGGGTGAGACCGGGATCATGGAGCCAGATTGTGGGGCAGTGACAGTATGGGACTGGGGCCGGGCTGTGATCTGCTCCCTGAAAACCCTTGCCCTGTGGGGGGAGGGGAGGTGTATGTTGGAGGAGGAGCATGGGGCATGTGAGCATGTGTGTGTGAGGAGGTGCTGCCTGGGTGTTAGGTCCCTGGAGCCAGCTGGGGGTGAGGAGAGGAAGGAGGGGGTGGGGGGGTGTGCAGCATAGCTTACCCAGGCAGTACGGTCTGCAACTGCCCCTGTGGCACTCTGCATGGGGCTGAACCCCACCCAGGGCAGCTTTCACTGCACTCCTGCCTGCACCTGCTGGCCTGGCCCTAGCCAATATGTCCAGCTTCCAGCAGGGCTGCTACCAGTGTGGCTGCATCCAGCCAGGTGCTCCTGCCCCTGCTGCACTGCTCCGGGCAGGGAGGAAGCTTCAGCCAGGTGGGGAGGAAACTTCAGCTGGCCAGCTCCTGCCCCAGCATGCAGGGCTCTGGCTCCAGCTCCCAGCTGCCTTCCACCTGCCAGGCAGTGGCCGCTCATTGCACCAGCAGGCAGAGTGGGTGGAAGGCAGCTTGGAGCTGGATCCCCACATGCTGGGGCAGAATCTGCCCAGCTAAAACTTCCTCCCTGCCCAGGGCGGTGCACAGCAGGGGTAGGAATGGGAGGAGGAGCCGCAGCTGGAGGTGAGGGGAGCTGAGCAGCACCTGGCCACCTGCAGCCACCCCAGAAGCTGCACAGGCTGGCTGGGGCCAGTACCGCAGGCAGAAAGCATGGCACTGCCTACCCCAGGTGGGACTTGGCCCCGTGCAGAGCACTGTGGCGGCAGCTGCAGGGCATATCTAGTCAATTGGTGGGCACCCCCTTCAGGCCGCGTCCAGTCAGTTGCTAGGGCAGATCTGGCCCGTGGGCTGTGTTTTGCCCACCCCTGGGTTAAGAGCTCCAGAAGCCACTTAAAGTTGCTGTGTAACAGGGCTGTAATAGGTACAGAGCATCACCAGGAACTCTTGACTCCCAGGACTGTGTTCTGATCTCTATGCAACTTACTCTCCTTCAGAGGCAATAAGAGTTTTACTCTATACTGCACCATCTACAAAAGGCAGCAAAGATGTTATTCACCCATGGGCATTTCTCTGCCATGTCTGCAGATTATGCAACTGTCCTGTGGGCACAAGAGGATAGTTGTGTAAATTAATGAGAATATTTTCCAGTTTTTTCCACAGACTAATGGCTGGAAAAATCATACTGAGGAGCTTTATAGCCTAAGGGGGATTTTATTTATATATATATATATATTGTTAGTATAGCATTGTCCTAGAAAATGAAATGCAAAACACCTCACACCACCTTGTACATTGAAGTCACCAGCACAAGCCCAGAATGCATTGGGATTTTTGGATTTGCTCTTTACTGAATCACAGTCCAATGAGATTCTAATGTAAGGGAGGGTGAAATACGGCCCATTGGCCAGATCTGACTTGCCAAGAAGGATTGTCCAGCCTGCAGCAGGTCCTTTGGTCCTGCCCAGCCCAGGCACAGAGGACAGCCCAGGCTGTGGTACATACAGCCAGTTCTGCCACCCCTGGGGATGCAGGAGGGATGGGGTCTTGTGGCAGTCAGACTCACTTCCCAGCAAAGGTGTTTCCTTATGGTTTGTGCAGGACATGACCAGACACCCTGGTGAATTTGCCTCACACCCACCGCCCAGGGTGGGACCTGTGTGGCCAGGTACCTGGAATGGGGCTGCAGGCTGGTTGGGAGCAGTGCTTGGGAGCAGGATGGGCAGGCAGGCTGGGATCCTGGGTTGGAATTGATGACAGTGCAGGGTCAAGGCACAGCCATGATCCACCGTACACACGGCCCTGCAATGGGTGCAGGTCCCGTGGGCAGGGGAGTGCAGGAAGCAGATTACAACTCTGCCCTGATCCCAACCCACACTATTACCACCCCAAGATCCCAAACCTGACCCTGGACACAGTTCATGGCCCACCCACAGCCCTATCCTGTCCACCTGGCCACATGCCCTGCCCACAGGTCACAGATGGTTTCCATGCAGACCCCAGGATTATAGGGCAGAGAGTGTGTGGGGTTGGGGTCAGGGCCAAGCAGTGATCCACTCCATGCAGTCCTGTCTGCAGAGCTGATGCCTGTTGCAGGAGCATGCAGGCAGCAGATCTTGGCTATAGTTTCATAGTTGGTAGGACCGGAAGGGACCTATGCAGATCATCAAATCCGACCCCCTGCCATGGCAGGAAAAAGTACTGGGGTTAAACGACCCCAACAAGGTGCTCGTCTAACCTCCTCTTAAAGACCCCCAAGGTAGGAGCCAGCACCACTTTGCTTGGAAGTTGGTTCCAGATCCTAGCCACCCTGACTGTGAAGTAGTGCCTCCTGATGTCTAGTCTGAATCTACCCTCTGCCAGCTTGTGACCGTTATTTCTAGTCACTCCTGGTAGTGCTCAGGGAAACAGGGACTCCCCCAATGCCTGCTGGTTCCCTCTGACTAGTTTGTAACAGGCCACTAGATCCCCTCTCAGCCTTCTCTTGTGAAGGCTGAACAGATTCAGGTCCCTTAGCCTCTCCTCGTAGGGCCTGCCCTGCTGCCCCCTGATCATACGGGTGGCCCTCCTCTGGACCCTCTCAATGCTGTCCACATCCCTCCTGAAGTGCGGCGCCCAGAACTGGATGCAGTACTCCAACTGTGGCCTGACCAGTACCACATAGAGGGGGAGGATCACCTCCTTGGACCTGCTTGAGATGCATCTGTGGATGCATGACAAGGTGAGGTTGGCCTTCCTGACCGCGTCCCCACACTGTTGGCACATGTTCATTTTGGCATCAATAATGACTCCAAGAGTCATCCTTTTCTGCCTCTGCACTGATGAGAAGGGAGTTCCCCAACCTGTAGGTATGGGCTGGTTCCTCCTCTCCAGGTGCAGCACCTTGCACTTGTCAGTGTTGAAACCCATCCTGTTCTCATCTGCCCACTCCTGTAACCTTTCTAAGTCTAATTGCAGCCTATTCCTCCCTTCTAGTGTGCCCACATCCCCCCACATCTTAGTGTCATCAGCAAATTTGAATACGGTGGTTTTTAACCCATCATCCAAGTCACTGATGAAGATGTTGTACAACGCGGGTCCGAGGACTGAGCCCTATGTTCTGTGCTCGGTCGGGATGGGGTTGCGGGTGGGTACGGAGCAGCATTCAGGAGTGGGACAGTTAGGTGGGAGGGGTTGGGATCATGGGTGGTGAAAACATGGGGCCAGAGCAAAGCCGTGATCCACTGCTCGCACGCCCCGTGATTGGCACCGGTTGTGTAGGCAGCGGCTTGCAGGAATAAGATTGCGGCTCTGTCCTGGGCTCCACGCTGTAACTGCCTTGTGATCCTGGAGTCTGCATAGAAATTAGACAAGACACACGTGGGTAGGGCACATGTCAGGTGCCAGGATGGGGCCACTTAGGGAGTTCTGGTGAGTTGTTGCATGGGGGTGGAGGATGTGCTGACTCAGCCTATGACAGCACACCAAAACTACCTATGTGGCCCTCAGGCCCAAATAATTGCTCGACCCTGCTCTAATGCTTACCTGGGGCAAAGCTACTATATTTTCTTGCACAAGTTGTGCCCCAGAACATAATGTAAATCTTGCTTTTGAAAGAATGCAGAAGAAAAGATTTTTCCAGAGTTATGGCAGCATAGAGCTGGGACAGACACTAATCTTCAGCTGACTCACCCCTTCCCCCTTTCCTGTTTAACTAGAGCTGAAACCCTAGCTGCCACTGAAGGCAGGTCTCCATCACTGGCTATATGATTTTGAAAAGAGCTAAAGAGTCTCCAACACTGTGAAATAGGAGGAGAAAAACCAGGAGCAGGTAGAAAGTAGTAAAATTGCCATGAGATAGGTCATCTCAATTAGTGGAACATCAAGACGATTAAAAAGGAGA